AATTTAGTTATCATAAAAATAAAGAATAAAATGATTTATGCTAAGAAAAATCTTCTGATATATTAGCAATTTCTATAATAAAAAAATAATTAATTTAAAAGAATTATTTAATTTAAATAATTTAATATAACTTCTTTTATGAGATTATTTTTCAATGTTATTTTCCTAAAATAAGATAATGAAATTATTTACTTTTTTTCTTATTATAGTTAATAAATATTTTAACCATTATTTGATGAGCAAATTTCTATCAATTTATTTTTTGTAAGACAAATTATTCTTCTTAATTATTATTTTTCGTAAAATAAGATACAATATGACTAGTTTTCTTTGACTATATAGTATTTATTAATAGTATTTCAGAAACTTGATGTTTAAATTAGCATAAAATTAAACAGTTATTATATGTATCATGTCTTTTACGCTTCTTAATTAAAAATTAATATTAAGATTACTCTCTGTTAATAAATATGAAACACTTAGAACTATATTAAAATAAAAATAATAAATCAATTAATAAATAATAATTAAAAAATCATTAGAAATTATTATTTTTAACTTATTAATTGAACTAGTTGTTGAAATATTTTGATTTATCAATTCTGTTTGTATCTAATATTCATCATTAATATCCGTTTCTTTATCTAAATTCTGCTCAAAATTTGAAAATTCTGAAACTTCACTTGATGCTTTTTCAACTGTTTCTGAAAATTCAGCCATATTATTATCAATTTTAGCTTCAATATTTATAGATGGAAATGATATTTCTAAATCATCAATTAATTCAATAAGAACTATTAGCTGTAATATATTAATTGGTAAGCTATTGTTACAGTCAGTTCTTTAAGATGCTTATAAGTGATTAAAGCTCTGAACAGTTTAGATTAATCTGAAGATTTTTCAAATCAGTTCAGTTCAGATCAGTTTTAGATTGCATAAAAATTAATCTGAAAATTTTCGGTTCAGTTCGGATTTTTTTCAGATTATAATTCTAATCTAAACTGAAAAAAAATCTGAACTGAACTGATAATTTCAGATTAATCCAAAAGTTCAGTTCAATTATATGCAAAACTCTTGGAGGA